TTGGACGATCATCCTGGACAAACAGACCACCCCTGGCCCGAGTCCCCCGGACAGGGGGCTGCTGTTCTTGCTTCTTGTTTGTGCAAACAGGGCATGGGATCAAATCCCGGCGACTCTCTTCCTTGCGGACGCTAAGAGCTGGCGGGCAGATAAACGGTCTGTGCTGTTTCTCATCCATTCGGAGGAAAACAAACCACCGAGTTTAATGTGATTAAACGCTGCTAACGGCTAATGGCAAGCGGCTGGCTGCACGGGGAGGTCCCACCCCCCCACCCCAAATAAGAAACCAGAAGAAAACAGTCAAATCAATAAGCGTGGAGGGATTAATGTTTCTGGGGGCCCTAGGCGGACTTCAGCATGAACACCCCGGTGCTGCCGGTTTAGTGGGACGGGGGCAGGGCCGGTGTTTGCCGGGATCCTGGCCTATAGGGACCCAGCATGGCCTGTGTATTAATCTGCTCCTGACGATAAGCTGAGTCTGAATCTGAGCTCCTTGTGCTGGGGGGGGGGGGAATCCTCTTCATCCCAGGATAACTTCTGGCTTCTGGTCCCCCTAATTAGGTGAACTGGAAAACATCTCGAGGTGTAGCTTGTATGGCCCAGGTACACTGACCTGCCCTCTGGTGCCCCCTGTCACATCTAGAAGAAACTACAAAAAAAAAACGTCTAACATCTAAAAGAGCTACTGAAATCATACCAGAACCAAAGGTCACACACGTTAGCTCTGTGCAGAGTCTGTGAAAACATAAAAATCATACGTTTATTTATGCAAATAAAATCAACGCATATTGACATTTAAACGTGATTCACCGACCACTCACCTCAAACAAGTGACATCAGCGTGCAAGTTCCTATTTCAAGAGCACATTTGACAACCGCCATCAATTCAAGCTGTTTCAACGGCTAACACTGAAAGGCAGCCTCCTTCCTAAAGGGCAAAGCGACGGCCTCTTCCCTGCCTGCCACGCTGGGCTGTGTCGGGCCCTTTGGAGAGGTGACCACGCTGTTAGAGTGTAAAGGGGGACAGCAGGAGCTGTCAAAGCACAGATTTCAGAGCACAATTACCAGCAAGCTTTCGCTTCATAACACAAGCAGCGAGTGTGACCTCCTGTGATAAAAGGCAGTGCTTCACTCGCGAGCCAGTGAACGCCTCCAGCACAGAGGGACCTCACTGAGTCAGGCCAACCATAACCTCACTGATGTCCCACAGCTTGCCAGCCAGATCCTCGTCGGTCGCCTTGGGCAGCAGGTCCTGCTCCCTGCAGTCAGCGAAACACTTGCCCTGGACGCCCTCCACGTCGGGGGAGCAGGCCAGGAAGATGGAGGTCTGTGCGCCTTCCAGTGGAGACTTGAAGCAGACCTGGGAAGCTAGCTTGAGCAGGGGCCGGGCCAGCAGCGGCACGGTGACGTGCCTGCCCAGGTTGGTGCGGACGATGCCCGGCGTCAGGGCGTTGACGGTCACCCCGGTATCCTCCAGCCTCTTGGCCAGCTCCACCGTGAAGAGCAGGTTGGCCAGCTTGCTGCGGCTGTAGGCGAAGGCCCGATCGTACCTGCCCTCGCTGTTCAGGTCCTCGAAGTTGATCTCACCGCCCTTGTACAGCTTGGAGGAGACGACGACGACGCGGCTGGGGGCCGACTTCTTCAGCAGGTCCAGCAGGAGCACCGTGAGTAGGAAGTGGCCCAGGTGGTTGACGCCGAACTGCATCTCGAAGCCGTCCTCGGTCTTGGCGTAGGGACATTGGTAGACCCCGGCGTTGTTGATCAGCACGTCGACCCGGACCTCCTCCTGCGAGAAAATGGCGACACAGGCGTGGTTACCAAGCTGTCAAGCGAGTTCAAGGGAATTCAAAATAAAGCGAACTGAAAAATCCCACAACGATCAAAAATTCCACTACGCAGTGTATGTGGGAGGGGCCCCAAATCCTGCAGATAAGGGGGACTTGCTTGGCGAATCAGATTATTTCGAAACATCCCGAATAAAATAAAAAACAGACCGTGGATTCGCGACGCAGCCTGTTCAGCCCCCAGTGGGCGAGGCGTGCTCCAGCGGGTTAAGCACTTTGGATAGAGGCTCGTCGAAACCACACACAAGCCACTCAACACCTCGGGCCGTTTTGGCTGTGACGTGGCCCGTTTGAGGACCCGCCTGGCCCAGAAAAGCTGTGGGAACGGCTCTGTCTCCAAGCACAACAGCGGAGCTGTGCATATCAGCCCGTACAGATTTCGATCTCCCCCCTTTTTTTGATTAATAGTGGCGAATGGTGAGGCCGCCATGTTTCACTGGCTTGTGGGGACTCCAGAGAGTAAAAGCCCCCCCCCCCAAACCCACACAACACTAACCGACATTTTACGAGTCCCTGGAAACCGGCGTCAGGCTTGTGGGCTTCCAGTCTGACATTATGCTGGGCCCAACTTGAAAAGGGCAGAAAAATAATGACTGGGGGATTTATATGTGTAATAAATTACTAATAAAACAACCTTTTATGCATTATGGAATGAATGTGTGGTTTCCGGGCGATGTTAAGTGCACGGGGGACACCGCAGGTGAGAGCGATGGAGTCTCTCCTTCTGACCCCAACCGTTTTTTCCAGAATACAACATATCCATCCACCAGGCATCTTCCTTTATCACAGGTAGCGGCGACCATAAAATGCGGCGCAGAAACCGCAGGTAAAACATTACAAACACAAGGCACTCGTGAATGCCAGCGTTCAGTGGGCGTTATGATCGAGAGGTTTCACTAAATGCTTCACATGATCGGCATTGTAGCTGGAATAATGCACGTTGGGGCGCTTCGCCGGCATTTACGCTCCATTACATACGCCGTATGAAACGATCGCGGGTCACACGTAAGTGTTAAAAGTGCAGACGTGCAGGAATCGTTGCATCTGCGCATACGCATACGCAGGACCAGCTACAAACGCCTGCATCCCGCTTCCTGCACGAGTGCTGCGCCGCACCTTAATGATCTCCGCGCAGAAACGTCGCACCGACTCAAGAGAGGCCAGATCGAGCTGTTTGACCACCAGCTGCCCCCCATCTGGCCCGGCCTCCCTTTGCATGTCCCGCGCCGCCTCCTCGGCCCTCTGCCGGTCCCGGCAGGCCATGATCACTCGGGCCTGCATTCTGAGCAGCTCGGTCGCCGTCGCCCGACCGATGCCGCTGTTGGCTCCGGTGATTATTACGGTTTTTCCGCGCATCATCTCCATGTGAGAGCTGCCGGAGAGTGTCCGTCAACAAATAGCAGCCTGCTGCCCGGCTCGGTGGCCACAAATACCGCTGCGTACATCAAAGCGAAACAGCTACGTCTTTGGCAATAAAACGCCGTGGGGGGCTTGCAAAAAAAAAAGACTTCAAAACCCAGAAAGCCTTTCGAAGTCGCGATGCATCTATTGCACATGCGCATATGCGTACGACAGCTTGTGTATTTGGCATTAAATACTGTGTGTGCCCTCGGGGAGCCGGGAAGTCAGATTCCTCGTCTTAATGAGAGACCCAAGGAAACAGAATTACCTATAAAACAATTCGGTAACATATTATGATACATCTGCCCCACGAAGGTTTTCTGGCAGTTAGATCAAATGAATAGTTATTGTTATAATATAAATTAATAATTAAGTTGTCGACACATTCAGGACGTGTGCGGATAAACACATAAAGAAACGGAAAGAGGAGTTAAATATATTAAAATGTATTTTTAAATCCATGTACGTCAGGCAGTTCACAGATATGAAACAAAAACATTACACACCAACTCCAGACAGTTCATACAGATTACAGATATATGTAAACAGACAAATCAAAGGGAATAGATCCAGTGAGTTAAAACAGTCCAGCTTGCACCCGTGTCAAATGAACCTGATTTTAAATACTTAACGCATATTTTGATTATTGAAAATATTCTCTGTACTGGATAGCAATAAAGCCGGCGAGAAACACAACAGTAAAGTATATCGCGATCAGGCGGTTACAGTATTACAGTGTGTATGCCCTAAGTGTAAGATTACCATGCAACTGAAGTATTACACGTAGCCTAGATATATACAACAGAACAGTTTTATAAACATGTTGCCTAAAAGGTATGCCAATATTTTATTTCATTTACTGTATTAGCAGTGACTAACTGGTTAACCACAGTGTTCCCAGATAAATATTGCTTAAAAGTGCATATAAGCTAATACAACCAGAAATTCACATTCTTACTCTTCCAAAGGAAATACCTGAGCAACATTTTTTTTCTCTCTGCATGTATTTCCCTAAAAATACAGTGGAACGGTATAAAATGTTATTCTTTTGTAAACAGCTACATCAGAGGTAATCTTTGTGCGTTCGATTTTCTCTCAAAGTCGGAACTCGGATGAAAACGTCACTTCCCGTCGGAAACACGCCTCTTTTATGACGTTGAAGTCGGACAAGATTGTCCGAGTTGCCCCTGTGACATAATTTCAACATGGCGATTTGGTTTGTTTGTAGTTTGTTTGCCGTTCGAAAAAAGAATATCGCTATGAATGTACTAAAATATTTTATAAAGCTTTTAATGTGGTTTGACTAGTTCGTGTTTCTTGTTTGTCTCTCGGAAAAATCTCCATTTGGAAAACTCAAAATCTGCTAAAATATAAAGCAACAACACACAGCAACGTGTTCATGGAGGCAGCCATGTTTGTTCCGAGATGTGGGTAGCTCGAACGGGAGATTGTCGGACGTGATGTCACTCAACTCGGAATTTCCGAGTTCCGAGAGAAAAACTAAACGCACCAAATGTGTCGGAATGATTAAGCGAACACGTCACTGTCCTCGAGGTGCGCCAGTCGCAGCTCAAGCGCTGTCCCGCGTACTCATTCACATCATTACTTACGTCATACTATTTAGCTCATGCATAATTTGATTTTAGTTAATGCCTCAATTAAACTGCACCATTTAACAGATACTAACAATCAGCAGGATATTGGTCATTAATAATAATAATAATAATAAAAAAATACTCTTTCAAACAGGAGAGGTAATTTTTCACTCTTATACACTAATTTGGTTTTTAAACAACTGATTTAAGTCACAGAAAAATCCTCAGATCAAAAGAACAGGAAACAATAACATGTGTGTCCAAACTCCTAAACGCTAGTGATGACTGTTGCCTTTACTGGACGCATGGCTGAAAGGCTGCATCTGGGTCCCTAGTGACCAGGGGGGCTTGGCTGTAGGGCTATCCCCCTATGGTATTTCTGTCCTATCCCATAGGGCACGTGGGCGGCGATGGTGCCCAGCTTCTGAGCTCCCTCGATGTGGAACATCTGATCGTCAAAGAAGATGTGTGGCCGGATCTTCTGAAGGAGTGGGCCCTTGGGGGCCCCAGCCAAGAAGAGGGCCTCGTCCACCTCCAGGCCCCAGCTGCGCATGGTCTTCAGGACCCGGGCCCCTGCGCTGGCCGCGCTGCGCGCCGTCACCAGATAGGTGCGGATGGGACAGTCCATGCGCTCGTCCTTGCTATAGAACTTCCTCTGGAGCTTTCCCAAGGCCTCCAAGAAGCACTTCAGTGGACCCTGAGGAGACAGGACAGGGCTTGAACTGCGCTGAGGTCTGGGGCCTGTTTCACCACAGCTCCCAGCATTCTGAGTGATTAAACATCATCAACAGTTCAGGGTAAAACATTGTTCACAGCACGCTTGCTCAAAGTGTGGAAGTTCTTTAGAAGTTCACCCAGTAGGTGCAGGATGTGAGAGCAGGTCTGTCTAAACTGGTTACTTTCAAAGTGGAAACGATTTGAGTGAAAGGAAAGTCAGGAAGGAGAAAAACTATGTATCTAAAGATAGGTTAGGAGGACTCAGGAGTGTAACAGGTAACACGTTCAAGTAGGCCTCCCCCCGCGTAGCAAAGCTGACCTGCGCCAGAGGTTTGTTCGCAAACTGCTTCTCGTGCTCAAAGAAGCTGTCGAGTCCCTGCGTCTTCATGATGATCTCGGATTCGTCGGAGAACAGGACAGCGTCTCCGTCGAAGGCCACACGCAGCTGGCTGTCACTCAGATCGTTCTCCCTCTCCAGTGTGAACATGGTGGCTGCTGCGATCCCTTGGGGGGGTGGGACACCTCGTTACCCATATATGATCACCTGTCGGCCAGCTCGAACACGTCAGCATCCTTAGATTCTGACACCTGTAACTCATCTCATACATACAGCATCAGGAGAACCAGCCACACCAACTAAAGGTACAGCAGCAGAAAGTGAAGATGTGAAAGCACCTGGGGGGGGGGGGGGGGGGGGCTTCTGCACAGTCACAGGTGGTACATAAAGCTTTAAAGGGCCGCCTCCCCACATGCGTTAGCCACTACCTGCCTCAATCGCCTCCTGAACTTTTTTGGAATCCTTGGACAGGTAGAGATCCGTCATATATGCCGTCAGGTATCCGATTGGACTCTTCCCACCAGTCATGCAGAACCTCTCAATGGTCAGATCTGATGAGAGAATTAAGGGAGTGAAATTTCCAAGATTACTGACTAAGCTGAGCTCTTAAACCACTATGCTATTGAAGTGTCACACCATCTGTCAAATAGAGATATACTACCCCCTTATAACCGGCCCTACAACGAGTCTGCATAACGCTTCAGTGCACCATATTTTTAATTATTTTCAGTTTATTTTACAGTGTTTACTCAAAATGAAGTGGTGTAGTGTCCATGTGTGACTATCCAAGACTGGAAATTAAACAGAGATTGTATTACAAATTAGATTACGGACTGGATGGGATGAAATGTAATTTAATGACACTGTCCCTCAATGCCTCCTTGACTTGTTGAGTATTTTTCTCCGCTGTACTTTGTCTTACCATAGTAGTTGATGCTGTTGATAAGGCGAACTCCGACCTGGGCGTGATTGTTTGTCACCAGGACAATATCGAACATCTCGTCACTTTCTGGGTAGAGGTCACGGAGGCGGGCGTTTACCGTCATCAGAGCCTGCCAGCCACACACACACACACACACACACACACACACACACACACACACACACACACACACACACAAATACAAGTCAGTTAAACACCTGGCCAGTATGAGCACTGAAATACCAGTACGTGCACTGGGTACCTCCAAGCTCAGGTAGCACTGCTGGTGACACTGAGATGTCACGTGCAGCGATACTGAAATGATTATAAGCGCGTTACAGATCATGGTGACACCTTGACGAAGGGAAAAGCTGCCCCGGGCGTCAGGGGCTCCTCTTCATGCTCCTGCTGGTAGGAGACGTACTTCTCCAGCCCCTCCTGCTCGTATATGCGATTCTCCTGCGCCATGTTAAACAGCGTCCGAGAGGAAACCGCGATGGTCACCGCGTCTCGGGGTTTGGGCTGCGGGCACATCGCCGTGTTAGTCGGTAAAGCCCATATGCTGACAGTTCTGCAAGTATATAGCCTAGTTTGCGACTAATGCACATAGATGCGCGTCTGTTTACTGTACCAACGCTATAACAACAGAAATAAAGAGCAACGCTCACCGGTCGCGGCTTCTTGGTGGTTTTGAAGTTGTCATATAATCCCTTGTCGCTGTCTCCCTTTTCATCAGGCACCTCCGCCTGGTTTGCTACCGTTTCACACATATTGCTACTCATACCGTGACCTTAAGGAAAAGCCGCAAAACGCAGGCAGGACCGAAGGCGCAGCGTGACGTGGGTCCGGTGGCGGAGGGTGACGACATGCGCGGAGTGACAGCGCCCTGCATGACCCATCACACTCCAGTTTTTCCAAAAAAAAAAAAACAAAAAACATTTAAAATACATTATCATAAATAAATAAAATTTGAATTAAAATAAGTTTACTTTTGCTCATTTCCTAGAACTGGTGTTGTGCAATTGCAATTCCTTGCAGTAATAGCGACACAGAGTGTGTGTTTTAGCCCTTTTCGAAATGTCCAAGTTCTTTTTTGTTACCTGGCACATACAGAGTCAATGCTTTATACCCCGTTAAGATCCCGCTAGGACTGTCTATGAAATATTTCAGCTGATTTAAGATGTTTTTTGGACAGCAGAGGTACTGTACCGGCAGATCTACTGGCGAATAATGGGGCCAGTCCTCCTGAAACCAGCGGATAAGGTCCTGCCGCAATTTGTTCCATGGCATCTTCTGATGGTTTAAATCCTGCACACTGCGTCTTGAGGAAGGTCGCCAAGGGAAACCTCAGTGTACAATAGATGAGTATCAGCGGTGTTTTCAGCTTCCCATTGTGTTGATTTGGCTGGAACCCCCCAGCTCTTCCCTTCCTATGGACACAGTGGCCACGGGGAGCTCGGGCAGATTCAGCCTGCCATGCCTACAGAGTCAGGAGGCCTGAGCCCAGGACCGCGAACAGGCTGGATGCTGGGAGCACGCCGGCCCTCCTCCAGAAAATCACTCTGCTTTGGAGGAGCCCTGCGCGATGACTGGGACTAAGGGGCTCAAACGTGAACCAAATAAAACAGTACAGGGCCAAGTCAAAAAGAGAGCATACCTGCCCGTTTCAGTGTTACTGTTTGAGTTTTTTTAATTACTGAGACGGTATGTTAACAAACGGCCCTCCAGCCCCAGATTCTTAACTAAATAAATTGTAATTTTTATTTGAACAATCTGCCGTGTCTAGCATATCAGAAATTGAGTTTTAATGTCAACACTTTTGATTTGGCGAATTAGCGCAAAACTAAAATAAAAACACTATGCAGACATTAGCTCCCATAGGCTATGCCGTGAATTATTTCCGAATTTACTCCTTGGTGTTTTAATATACTTAACTGCCGCAACTGTACAGGATGTAAACGATTTAATCGGTACATTTTCCCATGCGCTGGCAGCCTGAGGTGCTGCACACTGAATGGGGCTAAGCTCAGGCGAGGTGCTTTTAATTAAGCCCTGAATCAGACCCGTTTCGGCGCGGTTTATTTGCACAGTCCGCGGGGTGGTATTCCTTCGTAACCGTAGCTGCCGAAGCCCCCACTGCCCCCCACCCGGCCTACTTTACTCCCCACTCTCCTTCTTTTACCTATCGCTTCCAAGCTCTAAGAAAAATAAACGGAACACTTAGAGACCCCCGGTGGCCAAGTTAAATATATAGCGCTTCACCGGTCACGCTGTCGTTTGCACAGTTCGGTACCCAGGGCATATCTGACATGTCGTTTCCCATAAGGCCGTGCTCCCGTGATGAGGTCTAGCTTAGAGTCACACCCTAAGGGATAGGTCCAGGGTTTCCTTTTCTACAGCTCCCTAATTGTGACCACAGACTCACACGTCTGGCTTATGTCATTGCAATGGAAGGGAAGGTGTTTTTCAGCGATGCCTCTTCATCGGCACACACGCACGCTCCCTCCATCCAGACCTTAAAGCTCCTGTCCATTCTCAGGCTCCTCGTCAACGGTGACATAATCGCCCCGGTCACCTGGGGATGGTTCACACGAAAACAGAGGCTGAGGATTTCTTTCAGCACGTTGTGATTTACGTGATTTAATGTAAGAGCGCTGGCTCCCTCACATGCAGAAATAGCCCCCACCGTTTATTTTACTTCGCATGAAGAATAGAGCGGCTCATCACTGTGGCCGGGCCGCTGCCCTGCCAGAGAAACAGCATCAGAACCCGTGTCACACGCATCGACGGTCAGAGCTGGGTGATGTTTGGTGGTTTGGACCCAGCAAATGCCTCAGATGTCGTGTTCATCGGTGAGCAGGCTCACGGTCTGTAAGTCCAGGGTGTGAAAACGGACACGTTTACAAAATGCAAGCAAAACAAACAAACAAAATCACCAGTTAGCAAGTTCCAAGGCCGTTTAAGGCCCATCTAGCTGGTGAATAGTTCATGGTGGGAGCCCGGCTGACCTTTGACCCAGTGCGGTTTGCTGTGCTGATAAATCACCGCACCGCAACCCCCCCCGGCCCAATTTCCCGGTTTATTTCTCACAAAGCATCAGTCGATCGATTCCCCACCTTCACCCGTGACTTGTTTGCATCCATTAACAAGCTGACACCAGTATTTGATACTTTCTAAAACACATGGTTAATTATGGGGCACAAATTCTGCCATTAACCCCCGGTGA